TCCATCTGGTCCAATGTGTCATTCAATGCTCTTGTTTCCTTATTGATTTTCTTCTTGGATGATCTATTACTGAGAGTGGCATGTTAAGATCGCCTTCTATTAATGTATTCATATCAATATGACTCTTCATCTTGATTAACAGTTGTCTTATGTAGTTGGCTGCTCCCGTATTGGAGGCATAAATATTTACTATTGTTAGATCTTCTTGGTGGATATACCCTTTAAGAATGATGTAGTATCCTTCTTTATCTCTGATTACAGTCTTTAGTTTAAAATCTAATTTATCTGATATGGTAATTGCTACCCCAGCTTTCTTTCTTTCTTTTTTTTTTTTTAAAGGAATGTCTTTTTTTTTTAAAGATTTTATTTATTTATTTGACAGACAGAGATCACAAGTAGACAGAGAAACAGCCAGAGAGAGAGGAAAAAGCAGGCTCCCCACCGAGCAGAGAGCCAGATGCAGGGCTTGATCCCAGGACCCTGAGATTATGACCTGAGCTGAAGGCAAAGGCTTTAACCCACTGAGCCACCCAGGCGCCCCTCCCAGCTTTCTTTTGAGGCCCATTGGCATGAAAGATGCTTTTCCATCCCTTCACTTTCAGTCTGGATGTATCCTTAAGTTCAAAATGGGTCTCTCGTAGACAGCATGTGGACAGGTTCTGCCATTTTATCCAATCCGCAACCCTGTGCCATTTTATGGGAGCGTTTAGGCCGTTCACATTGAAAGTGATTATGGAAAGATACATTTTTATTGACATCATGTTGCCTATGAAGTCCTTGTTTCTACAGATTGTCTCTGTAAATTTCTGTTCTATGACACTCTTGGGTTCTTTCTTCTTTTATAGAACCCCCCTTAATATTTCTTGTAGTGCTGGCTTGGTGATCACATACTCTTTTAAAACTTGATGGTCTTGGAACTTCTTTATCTCTCCATCCATTTTGAGTGTCAGCCTTGCTGGATAAAGTATTCTTGGCTGCATGTTCTTCTCATTTAGTGCCCTGAATATGTATCGCCAGCCCTTTCTGGTTTGCCAGGTTTCTGTGGACAGGTATGATGTTATTCTGATGGACCGTCCTCTGTATGTAAGGAATCTCTTTCCCCTAGCTGCTCTCAAGAGCTCCTGTCTAAAATTATTATTCATCAGTTTTACAGCAATGTTGTGGAGCATAAGGAATAACGTGGAGGACATTGGGAGATGGAGCGGAGAAGGGCATTGGGGGAAATTGGAGGGGAAGGCAAAGGGGGAAATTGGAGGGGAAGGCAAACCATGAGAGACTGTGGACCCTGAGAAACAAACTGAGGGTTTTGGAGGGGAGAGAGGGATTGGGTGAGCCTGGTGGTGGGTATTATGGAGGGCACATATTGCAGGGAGCACTGGGTGTGGTGCATAAACGATGAATGCTGGAACACTAAGAAGAAAAGAAATAAATAAAATTGGGAAAAAAATCCCTCATTTAGAAAAAGGCTGCAATACAGTACAAATAACATATTCTGAACCATTTTAATACAAGTGGCCATTCTGATATATCTGAGAGTACTTATTATTTCTTACAAACAAGGTTATTTTTCTACGTGATGGTAATACAACCAACAAAATCAGGAATTAACATTGTTACATTACTATCTTCTAATCTTTGGACCTCATTCCATTTTTTTTTGCCAGCTGTGCTAATAGTGTCTTTGTAACAAAAGATCATGTTCAGATTCATGCATTATATTTAGTTTTCATATCTCTTTATTGTCTTCTGTCTGGGACAGTGGTTCAGTCTTTATTTGACATTAATGATCTTGGCATATTTTGAAGATAACATGTTAGTTATCTTGCAGACAAATCTTTAATTTTTTTTAAACAAACCTGAAATTTGGACTTATTTGCGCTTCCTTGTGATTGGACCTAGTTGTGCATCTTTGGCAGGAGTATCACAGAAGAGATGCTGTTATTCTCATTGCATCCTCTCAGGTGGTGCAGGGTTTTGGTCTTGATTTTTCCAATTACTGATGATGTTCACATGGATCACTTTATTAGGGTGGTGTCGGGTGGGCTGCTCCATTGTGAAATTACTCTTTTCCCACTAGTATTGAAATATTTTTATAGGGAGTTACTTTGGAACTATGTAATATATTGTTCCTCATCAAACTTCTAATTTATTCATTTATTAATTTACATTAGTATGAATCAGAGTTTCCTGTTATATGCAAGGAGTTATAATTTTTATTTTTATTTTGGTACTCAAATTGTCCTAGGTTTGATCACTGAGAGCCCTTTAAGATGTCTTCTGTGTCCTGCGTGTCCATTTTGCTACATGTCCCCATCACTCTTTGAGCACTTCTTTGCTTTTAGATATAAAAAGATGGTCTGGATTTAACTTCTATTTTCCCTGCTCCAGCCCTGGGAACTTTCTCCAAATGAGCCCTCGTTTCTTTTACTGCAGGCTCGAATTTGGAAACCAAGATGTGGGTGCTAGTTGTGCTCATTCCTTTGGGGGTGAGAGGCCACTGCTCCAAAACCATCTCTGAGCTAGGGAGTATATGTGTATAGATACATACATATACAAACATTTACATCTATGTTATTTATATTTATTGAAACCCCTAAGTTTCAATACCTCTAATTTCAATTCATCATAAGATTCATGTTTGTTTTCTTCCTTTACATTTTTAATACTCCATTCTCTGACAGTGAGAAAGCTGGCTTCCATTATCCTTAATCTACTTGTTTATTTGATCAATCCCTAGTAGATTTCCAATTTTCATTATTGCCTCTACTCTCTTCCCTACATGGGTGTCCTCCTCATTCTGCTTGAGCTCTTATACCCCACACCAGGCTATAGAGTTGCCAGATTTAGCAAATAAAAATATAGGGTGTTGCCATTTGCAATGACGTGGATAGAGCTGCAGTATTATGCTAAGTGAAATAAGTCAGAGGAAGACAAATACCATATGATTTCACTCATATATGGAATTTAAGAAACAAAACAGATGAACAAAGGGGAAAAAAGAGAAAGAGAAGCAAAGCAAGAAACAGACTCTTAGCTATAGAGAAAAAACTGATGGTTACCAGAAGGGAAGTGTGTAGGGGATGGGTTAAATAGGTGATGGGGATTAAGGAGTGTACTGGTTGTGATGAGCACTGGGTGTTAAGTGAAGTACTGAATCACTATATTGTACACCTGAAACTAATATTACACTGTATGTTAACTAACTGTAATTTTAATACAAACTTAAAAATATTTATAGGATGCCTAGTTGAATTCAAATCACAGATGACTACAAAGAATTTCTTGGACAAATATATCTCATGCAATATTCAGAATATACTTATACTAAATATATATATATATATATATATATATATATATATATATAT